CATTTCATCCAAGGAACTAAGGAACTAAGTTCTAACAGGCTCTGCAGGCGGATGTCTGAGCCTTGCCCACTGTTTAGATGGTTTGCCTCGGAGCAGTCACTTATCCTCTGTGCCTCTGCTTCACCACCTGTAAAATGGGACTCAATGTGGCATCCAGTTGTTACGGAAAGTAAATGAGAGTTAATACATGAAAAGTCCCGAGAAAAACACCCAGCAGAGGAGGCACTGTGCAGCTCCTGCTATTGTCTTATTATCGTTACTGTTGGTGGGGAAGAGCAGGCCACGGAGACATGGGGGAACTGCCTGCCTCTTACCCACCATGTAACTCTACGGGCTTAAAAAAGTAGAGCCTAAGAGCAGATTCCAATGCTGGCCCCTCCGCCTAACAGCCGGGCGACCTTTGCAAAGCCTGTAGGTTCTCAGAGCCTCGGTTTCCCATCTGACTCGGGGGAGGAATCTCCTTCCTTATCTAACAAGCTCAGGAGGAGGATCAGTATTGATCGTGGATTTTGCAAGCTGCATGGCCAGTGCTACTGTCCGAGTCGGTGGGTGAAGAAGGAGAAGGTGTCTTTACGGTTCCTTCCAAGAGACAGAACCAGGAAGAGAGGCTAGACATTTTAAAGAGGCCAACTGCAGCTCTATCTAAGGAGGACGTTTGGTTCTTTTGAAGAACCAAACGAAGGCTCCATGCCCATCCTGGAGCCCAACACGGGGCTCGATCCCAGGACCCCGAGATCGTGACCTGAGCCGAAGGCAGACGCTCAACCAGCTGAGCCACCCAGGTGCCCCTAAGGAAGAATTTTCTAAGGACAGCTGCTACAGAGGTGGGGAGGGTCCTGACACGAGAAGGAGCCCAGCCCTGGGGGCCAAGGAGGGCAGTTCTAAGAGTCTGGACTCTCGACCCTGCCAAGCCTGCCACCTTGCAGGGTTAGGGCTAGAAGGCCCAGCTCAGAGCCCTCCCTCCCCACAGCGTCTCTCTTTGGGGAGTTGCCCCTCTCCTCATCCCACCCCTGTGCTGTGCCTCTGCTTGGCCATCTTGGGAAAGGGTTCCATGACCTCTTTTGTTGTCTGAGAATCTCAAGCTCTTCCTTAGGTCCAGCCTCAGTCCCTCCCGGGACGAGACGAAAAATATGTTCTCGGGCTCTGTTTTCCCTCGATGTGGATATGACTGGCTCTCTCTCTTGGGTCAAAAAAGCCGCTTCCCACTGGATTCTTAGTGCTTCCTTGCTTAGTATGGAAGGTCTTCAGCCCTTGCCCCCTCGCCCAGAAATGACAAAGCCGCCCAGGACCGCTCCGCCTCTGCTGGCTGTGGGCATCCTGCTGCGTCCCTGCTCTGATTTTGCCTCATTCCTGTTATCTCACCAGCTCTTCTGTCCTGTCCACTGGTCTCCGCCTCCTCCCTGCTGCTTGCCTGTAGGAATCACTCCTCGGGCCCATCTCCTGTACCTGGCGCTGACCAGCAGCCATGAGTCACGCTTGGGTCACCGCCCAGCCAGCTGCATTAACCTGTCCACCCACCCCTGCCTCTCTCCTGGAACAGGAGCCAAGTGCCCTGGATCCCTCTCTCCTGCTGAGTATTCCTGATGAGTACCCCTCATCTTTTTTAAGATTTTATTTATTTATTTGAAATGGGGGGGGACAAAGGCAGAGGGAGAAGCAGGCTCCCCACTGAGCAAGGAGCCTGATGCGGGGCTCGATCCCAAGACCCCGGAATCATGACCTGAGCCAAAGGCAGATGCTTAACCGACTGAGCCGCTCAGGCGCCCCGAGTACCCCTCACCTTATTCCTGCTCTTCCCCATGGGCCCCCACCAGCAGCCCGAAACCCTGTGGTGCTTCACCCAGCCCCTCCTTAAAGTGCAGAGGGAGAAAGAGCTTTGAAATCAAACACACTTGGTTTGTGACTCAGCTGTAACCTGAGATGCACTGGCTGCTAGGTGGGGTGGGTGGGGGTGGCAGGGTGATTATTCACCTGTGTGAACTTGGGCAGGTTACTTAACCTCTCTGGGCCTCGATATCCTCATATATAACACAGGACTAATACTAGTACTTACTTCAGAAGTCTTTTGTGAGAATTAAATAATTTCATATAAAATGTAAACTTATATCTGGCACATTAAGTACTATAGAAGTGTTAGCTATTTTTTTTTTTTAAGATTTTATTTATTTGAGAGAGAAAGAGCTCACAAGCAGGGGGAGGGGCAAAGAGGGAGGGAGAAGCAGGCTCCCCGCCCAGGCAGGGAGCCCGATGCGAGCAGGAAGCCCCACGCGGGGCTCGATCCCAGGACCCTGAGATCATGACCTGAGCCGAAGGCAGACGCCCAACCAACTGAGCCACCCAGGTGCCCTGAAGAGTTAGCTATCATTGTTGTTATTTCTTTATTATTTGCTGTGTGACCTTGCTCAAATTATTTCACCTCCATTTCCAAATGGAAATAATAATAATTTCTTAACCATGGACTTGCCAAGATTAAGTGAGATAGTGCTTATAAAGCACCCAGTGCGGGGGCGCCTGGGGGCCTCAGTCGGGTAAGCGTCTGCCTTCGGCTCAGGTCATGCTCCCAGGGTCTTGGGATTGAGCCCCACGTAGGCACAGGGCTCCCTGCTGGGTGGGGAGCCTGCTTCTCCCTCCCTCTTTGCCCCTCCCCCTGCTTGTGAGCTCTTTCTATTGTGTCCTAAGGTGTGTCACAGACCAATCCCAAGACCTCTCCCTCTCTTCACCTCTCATGCTCTCTCTCAATATCTCTGTCTCTCTCTCAAATTAAAAAACAAAACAAAACTCTAAAACATGAAAAAAAGAAAAAAATAAAGCACCCAGTGCAGGGATGAGCATGTAGCAAGTGTTCAACATTGTTCCCCATGCTAGGGGGCCTTCCCTGGCTCCCCTCCCGTCCTGGGTGCACTCTCTCTGCTAAGCCCTGTGGCCACCAGTTGCCTGAGAGAGGCACGGAATCTCACGGAGGAGAGATTCTTTCTGTGCGGACACCTGCCTCCTAGCCTGCCGCTCTGGTCTGGCTCCCAGGGCTTTTTCCTGGCCTGCCCATGACCTGGCCCCTGCAGAACCTTAGGTAATATGCAGGCCTCAACAGATGGAGCCCGGCCCTCTCCATCTCCCACCTGTGTCTTCCAAGCACAAATATCTATGAAGAACCTACTACCCAGCCTGTTGTCCCTCCCACCTGCCTGCCTTCCCCTCCCTGCTGGCTCAGAGCGGTCCCGGGTCCCACCCCTCCACCATGGCCCAAGGGGGTGAAGAGGAGTAAGTGGGGGAAAGATCAGGGCAGGGAAGCAGCAGAGGGTCAAGAAGAAGGGGAGCAAAAGCCCATGGGCACCAAGGAAGAAAAATGAGGCTGAGCAGGGGTGGGAGGAGGGGAAGGAGAGCCAGGAAATGAGATGTAAACATCTGACTACAGACTTCATCTACTCCATGTCCCGCATCTGGGGTATTAAGAAGAGGCAGGGGTTTGTGATCAGAGAGAGGGTCAGAGAGTAAGTCACAGCTCGGTCACTATCTCGGTGACCTTGTGACTTGTCTGTCTTTGCCTCGGTTTCCTCCAATGTTAACTAGGGGTAATAACAGTCCCTGCTTTGGGGGGCTGCCGGGGGAGCTGGGGTGCTGCAGAGTACTTAGCAGTGGGGGGTGCATGAAGCAGCTTCTCAGGAAATGCGCCCTTCACCGGGAGGGCATAGGGAGGCCAATCCGTGAAATAGCCGGCAGTGTTTTCTCTGTGGCACAGGACGTCCCAACCCTATTGGTCTGTGACACACCTTAGGACACGATAGAATGCATGGGAGGCCTCCACCCCTAGTAGGTGACCAATCTCCATCAGCCGTGATCGCACACACACACTCATGCAGGCACTCCTAAATCTTACATTCCCTGAAGGCAGAGACTACGACTCTCACAGTCTTTATTAGACTGATCACACTGTCCTGCTGTTCTGGTTTTGGGGGTTTTTTGTGTTTTTTTTGTTTTGTTTTGTTTTTTGTCCTGCTTTTATTTGTGCTGCCTGTCTCTTCCGTCTTACTCTATCTTCCGGCTCCCAGAACCTAGCGAAGTGCCTGGCCTTCGGTGAAGATTGAATGAATGAATGAATGAATGAATGAATGAATGATCCCATTTGCGGCGGGCCTAGCACTGTATGGGGCATGCTCCAGGTGCCCTAAAGGTGCTGCGCGACCCAGTGAATGAATACAAATAAAAGGCATATATAAACACCCAGCCCCCACCTCCTTTCTTCTCCATGGTTACCATCCCCTCCGGCTTCCAGAAAAGCCGGCATAGATCAGTGATGAAACCCAAAACTGCAGGACACACCCGAGCACTTAAAAGTCAGGCATCTGGCCAGGTGAGCCGTACAGCCCGGCAAGGGTCACCGCTGGACCGGGGGCTGCTTTCTGTCCTGTCCTGGTCTCCTCTAGCTCTATCCCCAGCCTCGGGGCTCTGGGCCCGCTTCGCTGCCACCCCCCACCTCGCTTTCCCGGAAACAAACTCCCCCTTCTACGCCCAGACCAACCGACCGGGGCCCAGCCCCTGCCCGCTCCCACCCACCACCCACCACCCACCACCCGCCACCCGCAGCACCTGCCACGGCTTCAGCTCTCCATCACATTCTTCTCTCCAGGTGGAGGAGGCCTTGTTCTCCGCCCTCCTCTTGCTCCGGGAACGGATGGGAAGGATCTCTACCCGGCCCTTTGGAGTTATCCGCCTCTCACCTCATCAGCACTCCCTCCCACTCGCGGACTTAGAAGGCAAGTGAAGAGGGGGGCGCTGTCGCTCCCACAACCGCACCGTGAATAAGCCGCGGGCGCTCGGACGGCCCCGCGGGTCAGAGCCGCCAGCCCATCAAGTCGGGGAGTCCCTCTCCTGCCCCAAGGGCGGTCTACCTGGGCGCAGGAGTACCACCTGCTACCGCGGGTCTGCGGGTCGGCCTCTGGCCCCTGTGAACCCCCCTTCCCGGCGCCCGGGACGCGGCGGAGGGATCCGAGGGCTGGACTGACCTGTAGGGATTGAGGTTGCAGATGGTGACGGCGGGGAAGACGAGCTTGTCGGAGTTGAGGTTGATGTTGAGGCTGACGGGGTAGCTGAAGTACTCCCCGAAGAGCTGGCCGAACTGCCAGTACATCATGCCGAAGGCGCAGAGCCACAGCACGGCCCAGAAGGCCGTCTTCATGCGGTTGTGCTGGGAGCATACCAGGCGGATGGCGCCATGGATGGTGGTGGTGGTGCAGAAGAACTGGAAGAGGTCTCGGTAGGAGCGGTAGAACTCGATCAGGGCCTCCTCCTCCTCCGTGGGCTGCGGGGGCGCCGCGGGTTCGGGGCCCAGCCCCTGCTCCTCCCGCCGCTCTCCTTTCATGAGCCTGGGCCGGTCATGGAGGGCCGGGGGTCAGTGCCGAGTTCTGGGCCCTCGTGCCTCCCCCATCATCACCTTGACCCACAGTGAGGCTGCTCCTGGCCAGGCCCACATCCCGCCCTGAGCCCCCTCTTCTCCGCCCCTCCCTCCCTCCCTCCACCTTCCCAGGCAGGAGCCGGCTGACCTGCGGGAGTCCGGGCCAGAAGAGCTGCGGCTGGGCTTCCCTGGGAAGCTACCCTTCGGGATTCTGTCCCTGCGCCTCCCTTTCTGTCTCCTCAGCTGTCAGTCCGCCCTATCTTTAGTCCCTCCTGTAGGACCTCTGTGTCCCAGTGCTGGCTCGCTCTCTCTCTCGTCTTTCTGCTTCTCTTTGGGTCTCTTTCTCAGCTCTCTTCTTCCTTGCCTGTCTCCTGTCTGTGTGCCAGGCTCTCTGGTCCTGCCTCTCTTCCTCTTCCTCCCCACCTTGCCCCTCTCAGTCCTGGTGGGCTCTCTGCTGTGTCTCTGGCCCTGGCCTTGGGCCGTGTCCCGACTCCCTCTCTGTCCCAGCGACTGAAGGCCTCCAGGAGGTCTGAACCGCCTCCTACTCCCAGCTCCTGGGTTGTGGCTGGACTGGGACTGGTTCCTTTCCAGTTGAATCTGGCAGGCGAGCCTCTCCTCCCCCTCACCTGACAGGTGCAGCAGCCTGGCTGGGGAGCCCGCCCGCCAGGCTGGGATGGAAGCGACAGAAGCCTCATTAGCATCTCAATTAAAAGTGAGCAGGGCAGGGGGGAGGGAGGGGCAAAGGAGGAGTCTGAGCTGAGAGTTCTCCAAAGGGAGGAGAGCTCTGAGAGCAGGTGCCCAGGGAGTCCTGGGACTGGAGGGAAGGTGAGAGCCCCACCCCACTAGTAACAGTGGGGGGCTGACAGACAAGGAGACCAGAGACAGATTGACAGGGGAGGGCCGGAGATCATGGACAAGGACAGGAATCCTGAACACCAAGCCAGGAGGGCAACACAAAGAAAACGAACCAACCAGGATGAGGGGTACTAAAGCGGGGGAGACTAGGAGAACAGGGAAGGCAGAAAAAGGGAGATCCATGGAGGAGGACAGGATGGGCACCTGGGAGGGAGGACAGAGTTGGAGGAGAAGGAGAGAGATGAGGCTGAAGGCGAGAGAGCCAGCCCTGAAGGGACTCTCCCCTCCCTGGCAGGAGATCAAGGGGGAAGAAGCCCCAAGTGGGCTTCCAGGAGCTAAGTCCCCTCCCTGGGGACTCCTTCCAAAGGCACCCCTTGATCAGCCTCACCCCCAGGTCTTGTAGAAGAAGAAGGGGTATCTGCAAGGTTCCTCCCTGCTCAATAAAGTGGGAACACCTCCTGGACCCACTGGGCCCTGGAGCACAGAGTGCCCCTCTGCCTCTCCCTCCATCCTCTTCCCTCCTGACTCCTCACTACCACCCCCTACCTTGTCCAGGCCAGGGAGGGGCCCAGGTGAAGCTGAAGGTTGGGCGGGGCCCTGGGACATTCTGTTCTTTTTTACACCATTGGCTGCCAGGCCAGGAATGTGTAATGTCCCCTGTTGTGGTCACGGGGTTGCAGGAATGTGGTCACCGAGAGGCAGCACCGAGAGGGGCCAGGCAGGGCACCTGGGCACACACCTGAAGCCCAGGGCACATTAGGGACAGCAGGCACTGAGGGGACAGGGAGGGATGTGGGCAGCACTGGGTGTCAGGGAGGAAGCGGGTGGTCATGGCCCCAGTCTGCACCAGCCCTGGAAGGAAGGAAAAGCTCACTGGTCAGGGCTGTGTTTTTCCTCCAGAATCTCTGCTCCAAACTTAATCCAGCAAGAGGATAAAGAGTGAAGTGGAAGCAGTGAGCACACAGAGAGGGCAGGGGCAGGGAGAGGGCCCAGAGAGAGAGCCCGGGGAGGCACGGAGTCACAACCACACAGCCCAGGCCCTGGGCCTGATGGCAGGTCTGCCCTGGTGGACCCCCACCGGACCCCCACCGGAGGCAGCCCAGAGCATGTTCACTGGCTTCTCCCGCCTCCCGGAGGAGCAGACCTGGGATGTGTAGACACAGGCCCCGCCTGAGCACTGATGGAGTCGGGTGGAAGAGGACAGGCATGCAACATAAGATAAGGACTCTTGGTGGCAGAGATAAGAGCTAAGTGCTGAGGGAGCCCCAGGGTGGCAGGGAGAGGCACTCACCCAGCGGAGACTCAGGAAGACTTCCTGGAGAAGGTGACGTCTCTGCTGCATCTTGGGGAACACGGAGGAGTGTACCAGGCAAATGAGAGGGAAGTGGGATACACCAAACTCAGGGTGCAGCTGGGTCCTGTGGCTTCCTCTCAGGGCAGGAGTTCTCTTGCGGCCTCTTCAAGTGAGAGGTGCTGTCAACCAGGATTCCCAGCCCGGCTTCCCCTGATGTCTGCGGAGGACAGCCCCCTCTAGGAAGGGAAAGACTGGGTTTTCTTTCATTTTCCAGATGAAGAAATTGACCCTCCACAAAAAGAAGCCAGTTTTCTGAGGGCACAGAACAAAATGGCAGCCAAGTGAAACACAAAATCAGAATTCTCCTGTGGGGTTGTCTGCTTAGGGTATTTGCCATTTATTTCCCATGACGAACCAGCCAGAGATTCATGGGGAATTGAGGCTCTCCCTGCACCCCCCCCTCCCCGCACCTGGCTTTGAAAGCTAGGGAGGTTCGCACACAGAGCCTGTGGGCTCATCAGCAGTCTGGGTACCAGATTACCTCCCTGGCTCTGTGAAAAGCTCTCTACACTGTCCCCACGTTCCTGCGGGACTGCGACACTCCTAGATCTTCCATTGTCCCTGGGGCCAGGTCCTTAAACAAGGAGCAATCCTCCCTACAAATAAGGTATGCAGCACCCCGCCTGTTGGATCTGAAAGGTTCACAGAGGCACCTCCCAGTCTTCTGTATTCGCTAGCTGGTATCTGAAATCCACCCGTGGCTTAAAGCAGTGCAGCACATAGTTTTCATCTCAAGGGCTCTGTGAGAAGAATTGCAAAGTCTGGGCTGGGATGAGTGGGAAAGCTCAGTGTCCCTGTAACTGCCCAGCAGGGTACCAGGAGGCAGCACATGCTTTGAAAAAGTGCCCTTCTAGATCTGGAACGGGCCAGATCAAGTTTGTGGTTGTGAGAAACAGAAATCTGAGACCTGCAGTTCTGTTTCTGTCGTGGCGCCATTTAAAATATTATCTTTGAAAGTGCAGAAATAATGCCCCAATACATTGTTGTCGCGATGCAACTTTCCAACAATACAGAAATATACAGAACAACAAAAGCTCCCCTTTGTTCCCTTTCCTACCCACCCCTCTGCCCAAGGAGAGTCGTCGTAATCTGTATATCCATCTGGATCTTTTTGTGTTTTTTTATAGGCCTACGTGTATTTTTTTTTTTAATTTATGCTTTTTTTTCATAAATGGGACCATGTCATAGGTATTCTGTGACTCCCATTTTTGCCTTTAAACTACATGACTTTGAAAAAGTCACTTTACCTCTCTGGGGCCCTGTGCTCTCATTTGAAAAGTGAAATGGCAGAGGGGAGGGAGGGCGAGGCAGCCCAGATGGTCCCAAAGGCCCCTTCCAATTGACTTAAAGCAGGAGGGAACCAAGGCCCGGAGAAGCAAAGTGACGTGCCCACAGTCACCCAGGAGTCAGGAGGGGGGCCAGATGGAGAGCTGAGCCTCTTCGTTTTCCATGCTCAGTGTGGCTCCCCTGACTTCCAGAGAAGTGGAGTCTTGCTCGGGTGGGGACCCAGGGCCTTGTTGTCCTCATTTTGGAAGTTCCCCCAGCCTCTCCCAGAGCCAAGCTGTTCCTTCCCTCCCAGCACTAGCCATCCCCTGACCCTGGGGTGTGGCCATAAAATGGACAAAGGCTACAGGGAGAGAAGTAAAATAGAGGGTCTGCAATGGGATGAGGTCATGAGTTCAAAGGGTCTTCTGGCCTCTTGCTCTCTGGGGAACAGGACGTGATGGAAATAATCACTTTCTCTCCCACACTCCCAGAGAAAGCCTTGTTGAGAATTCTCTGGCGGCTCTTACCACTGGATACTATCATTATCCTGGTATGCGCGTGTGTATGTGTGTGGATTTGTGTGTGTGCGTATGCACAGATCGTACTATGAGTTCTCTGAGAACAGGCCCTAGGCCTATTTGTCTTGGTGGCCCCACTGTCTACTGGTCACTGTTTGTTGACCCACTCTGCAGAAGACAGCAAAATTAGCATCTTCAGACTCAAGGTTTATCTTTGGCAGAGAGTGACATGCTATGAGAAAGCATCTCCATCAAATATCCTGATTTCCTCTGATAACTTATTAATTTGTAATCTATTAATTTATCTAAATTTCCTTCACTTTTTCCATTTTAGCCTCTATCCTTCCTAGTGTAAAAAATGAGTCACTCAATTAAATGCAACTCTCTTTATTCTCACTACTTAGAGCTAATTAGCCTTTCAACACTGGGCTGTCCGCTGTGGAAAACAGCGATCCTTCTGTCTGCACTTATATGGTGTGAATTTCTCCTTAACCTAAAAGGATGCACCAGAAAATTCCTCCTTGCCACTCCTACTCCAGTCACCTGGCAGGAGGCTTAGAAGTTCACCATTAGAAGTTTATTCCTTTGGGTCAAGGCAGGATTTCTCTACCTTGGCACAAATGACAATTGGATAATTCTTCGGGAGAAGGATGGCCCTCACCCATGACACGTCTCTCAGTGTTTCCCAGACCCTTTCTAAGGGCACCAGTTGGCTAAAGAGCAGTGTGGGGAAGAGGAAAGAAAGAAAGAAAGTAAGAGTATCTAAAAGAATCCATTCCTGGGGTGCCTGGGTGGCTCAGTCGGTTAAGCGTCTGCCTTCAGCTCAGGTCATGATCCCCAGGTCCTGGGTTCGAGCCCCACATTGGGCTCCCTGCTCAGTGGAGAGCCTGCTTCTCCCTCTCCCTCTGCCTGCCACTCCCCCTGCTTGTGTTCTCTCTGGTGCTGCCCAAAAGAAATCAGTAAAACTTGAAGGAAGCTGGCAAAGAACACAAAGGAAAGAAACCAAGACAATGCTCTGCCCATAAAGAATTCATGGATCCCTGCTGTGAGTTTCCTCCACCCTCCTGGAGAAGGTTGGGTAGGCATAACAACCATTTATTGGTAAGCTTTGTCCATCGTGGTCCAGCTTAGAAACAGGAAAAGCTCTAAGTCTTTCAAGTGGAAGAAATTTAACTCAGGGAATTGGTCCATGGGTGATGAAGGAGATAAGAAGCCAACGGGGGACAGCGAGACAACCCAGAAAGCAGCAAAGCGGGAAGCTGCTACACCTCCCAGGGCTGGAAAGTCAGCAAGTCATGTAGCATTATAGACCCAGAGGCCCCCTGAGCCATTCGGCAGGAAGTAAATAGTGGGTGCTGCCCGAGAGGAGAGGGGATCATGAAAGGAGAGAAGAAAGAAACACAACCAACCACAGGTGAGGTCCGATGTCTGAAAGCAGAGAGACAGGGAGAAAGAGCCTGGCTTCCTTCCTCCTCCCACCTACCTGTCCTCCTCCCACCTGTCTTCCTATTGGCTGAACCTACCCAGAAGCCGGAGGAAAAAGGAATCTGGGAAATGTAGTTTCTAGTAGTGAGGCCGCACAGAGCAGAGGAAACTAGAGAACAGATTGGCAAGCAAACCAGCAGGTGACTGGCAAAGAAAAAAGAAAAAAAAGAGGCCCAGAGAGGGGAAGTGATGGGACCAGGCTTAAAGTCCAGATCTTAAGGCTCTCGTTTAGGACCCAGAGAGTCCTCGAAGGCTGACGTGACAGCATGAGATTGGCAGCGGAAAAAAGAACGTAGTCCAGCCAGCTGGGTTTTAAAAAGATCTGAGATAGTGCTTACCTGCGAAGCAGGAGCCTTTTGACGTGCAGGAAATGTTCTGGGGAGATATACAGAAGCGAAAATTCACTGATTTGTATATATGAGATTAGTGTACTTTATGCATTTCATTGTTTATAAATTATACCTCAGTTAAAAGAAACAAGAGTTCCTCCTGTATTTTTTATCAAATCCTGTCATATTTTCAAATGAAATATGTCTGGGGTTTGCTTCCAAATAATTAAGGGAAGATTGGAAGAATGGAGGAGGGCTGTATGGAAGACATAAGACTGGCCGTGAGCCGAAGCTGGAGTTCACAATATTATTTTCTTCCTTTTTGTGTATGTACATGTTATGTGCAAATTTCCATCATAAAAAGTAAAAAAGAAAAAAGAGAAAAAAGGCTCTAGGGACCCTACACACACACACATACACACACACACACCGCTTTATGCACTGAAGAGCTCAGTGGTGAGTCCAGTCCCAGCCCCGAATTCCCTTAACCCGGAAAGGGCATCGCCCTGAGCAGTGCATGCTGCTCTGAAATGGGCAGCCTTGGACCCTCCGTGTAAACACTTGCCACAGAGTGCAGATCTGAGGCCTGCACCAGGAGGGAGGAGTGAGATGTCTAAACTCAGGCAGGCCCATCACTGTCTTGGGAGCCCTCCTCCCCAGAGGCGCTCCTGCACCAGGACTTCCCAGCTCCCCCCACCAAGAGCCTGTCTAGCCAGTCAGACCGACCAACGACCAACAACTGACCGACCAACGGCAAGGATGAATGCAGAGCCCTGCAGGGAGAGGGGCAGGACAGGGTCCCGGTGACCTATCTCCAGAGAGAAATCCACCCCTCAAGCCAAAGGAGGCAGAGTGGTTGCTGGAATGAGCGTGGGACCCAGGAATCAGGAACTCTGGAGTCTGGGCTGGTTCCGTATAGACTGGCTAGGTGATGTGGGCAAGGCCTCATCATTTACTCCATAAATATGTACCAGACCCTTGGAATGGGCCAGACTGGGCTAAGCACTGGGACCCAGACTTAAGGATTCCATCCAGGCCACTGCAGAACTCACTGCCTCGTGGGGCGGGAGGCCAAAAGCAGCAGGTTCCAGACTGCAGTGGGTATGGGAGCTGTGCAGCCTGGGGTGGGGGTGCTTCCCAGAGCCTTGCTGAACCTCAAAGGACAGATGCGAACTAGCCAGGAGCACAGAGACTTGAAGACCAGCGAGCCTGGCATCAGGGGACATGGGGGTGCTGTTCATGGGTTGCAGGGAAATGATGGGAAGAAAGGGGGTTAGGGACGAGACCAAGCCCCCTGGAATCCCGATCTCCTCTATGTGGCCCCCCTCAGCCTCTGTCTTCTCACCCTTAAGGCGAGGGGGCTGGACAAGTGGGCTCTCAGCCTCCTCCAAGTGCGGAGGGATCAGAGGCTGCTGGGTGAGGAAGATGGGCCTGAGGGCCGAGGCTGCCCAGCTCCAGCGCAGCCGCCCCTACTCGTCTTTGGGAGCTGGGTCTACCCGTTCCTCCCTGTCATCTAAGGACTGGGGAGCAGGGGCCACTGCCCTCTCAGCAGTGTCTTGTAGGTGACCTGTGCCCACTAATGTGGATCACGCACAGGGAGGGCCGGCTGACTCGTGTGATTCCTTTGTAGCTTATCTTTAAAAGTCACACAACAGGACCAGAACCCCCAGGCGTCCAGACGGATGCCAAGTGGGACTTCTGTTTCCCAGATGCTGCAACTGGCTGGCCGAATGGGGGCCTCTGCGGGTCCCTGCACTCCCCCTGTGTGTGTCGGTCACGGGCCCTTCCACTTTCAGCTCTGGCACCCAGCTGGACACGGCTCTGTCTCTCTCCGTCTCTCTGTTCCAAGGCAGCTCTGCCCTGCTCTCGGAGGCCCATCTCTGTCCCCCTGGCTCTGCTGCCTGTTTCCCACCTAGCCTGCCCCTGCAGTCCTCCCCTCGTGGCCAGGCTTCCGAAGAAGGGAGGAGGCCCGATTCCGGCCCTGCTGCCCTCACGTGCTTTCCCGGCCGCCCCCTCCCGCCCTGCATCGGGGCCGCCAAGCCTGTTCCTCTTCCCCGATTGCGACAGCTGCCTCTGCTCCCAGAGCTCCCTGTCCCCGCCCCGAAGGCCGGCTCGCTCCACTCCCACTTCCTGAGCCCAGCGCTGGAGCCCTGGAGGCCAGGCCAGGCCGCTGGGCCCCCGGGGGCGCGTCAGCCCCAGCCCTGTCGCAGGCCCCGGGCTCGGAAGGCTGCTCTCACCGCTGCCCAGGACGTGCAGGCCTCCCACCTTCCTCCCCCGGCCTCCGCCCCATCTGGCCGACTGGCCGACTGGCCGCCATGCGCCTGCCCTGGGCTGCCTCCCCCTGCGGCCTGGCCTGGGGGCCACTCATCCTGGGCCTCTGCGGTGTCCTGGCAGCGTCCCAAGCCCAACTGGTGAGGGCGGGGCCCGTGCAGGTGGGTGGCGGCGGGCTTGGGAGGGGAAGAGGGGGTCTGGGCAGCCCACTCTCTAGTCCCTCTGACCTCCCCAGCTGACCCCCGAATAATTCTCCCCCCACCTCCATCTTCCCTTGAAGGAGCCCCCATACCACACAGAGAACCAAACCTGCCGGGACCGGGAAAAGGAGTACTACGAACCCAAGCATCAGGTCTGCTGCTCCCGCTGCCCCCCAGGTGAGAGGCAATGGCCCAGAAAGCGGGGGACGGGCGGTGGGTTGCGGGGGACTCGGGCCACCTCGCTGCCTCGGGGGGAAGACAAACACCATCTTGCAGGAAAGCCAGCCGGCCATCCTTCATGGGTGGCCAGCAAGAGGACAGGGTCCCACAGCGAGCGGCCGAGGAGAGGGGGGGCCGGGCTGCCCTGACACCGCGGTGGCCCCACTCCCATTCCCGCATTCTAGGCACGCACGTCTCGGCCGAATGCAGCCGCAGCCGGGACACTGTTTGTGCCCTGTGTCCCGAAAATTCCTACAACGAGCACTGGAACCATCTCTCCATCTGCCAGCTGTGCCGTCCCTGTGACCAGAGTGAGTGGCGGGGTGGGGGGGGCGCGGGGGGCTGGGGGGGTTGGGGGGGCCGGCATGTCCCCGACCGCGGCCCCTCCGCTGAGCCCTCCTGTCTCCCACCAGTGCTGGGCTTCGAGGAGACCGTGCCTTGCACCAGCAGACAGAAGACCCAGTGCCGTTGCCAGCCGGGAATGTTCTGCGTGCACTGGGACACTGAGTGTGTGCACTGCGAGCCACTCTCCGACTGCCCGCCTGGCACCGAGGCCCAGCTGACAGGTCAGAGGTCGCTGCGGGAGGAGGGCAGGGAAGCCGCTGGGTGTCGGCGATCTTGAAAGGGGGCAGGGAGCACTGAACTTCGCCGGTGGGGGGAAGCCCCCCAGGTAGTTCTCTTCAGTATAAAGAGCCCCTCTCCCTCCCTGTGAGAGTCCCACTGCGGGCATCTGCAGAGACATGGAGCCAGGACAGAGGCAGGGCCTCTGGAGGCTTCTCTGAGCAAGAGGGCGATCAGGAAAGGTGCCACAGAGTGAGGTGGGCGGGCAGGGAGGGGCCGTCCCATGGGAGCAGCGGAAACTCACGTGGAGAGACTCTCCCCTTGCCCACTCACCCTGGCTGGCCTTGCTTTTCTCCTGCCAGATGAAGTCGGGGCGGCTAACAGAAACTGTGTGCCCTGTAAGGCAGGCCACTTCCAGAACACCTCCTCCCCCAGGGCCCGCTGCCAGCCCCACACAAGGTGAGTGTGCCCCCACGCCGCACCTCCACCATCCCAGAAGTCCCAGCTGCTGACCACCCTGTGCTCGCACCCACGGGCTCACCTTGCCACCCCCAGCCCTGTGCCCACCTGAATCGGGCCCTCTTTCCTCCGCAGGTGTGAGGAGCAGGGCCTCGTGGAGGCTGTTCCAGGCACTGCCCAGTCTGACACCAGCTGCAGAAATCCACCAGAGCACCCTGAGATGCCAGGTGAGGGGCCTGGGGCTGAGGGGCACATGGGGGCCGGGGGAGGCTGGGAAGATGCCTTTATTCCTTCCATCTAAAAAAATGGGGAAAAGATGAATCCTCCTCTCTCAGAACAGGCAAGCAGAGAAGTTCCCTAGGGTGTATCCCTAGGCCAGCTTAGCATACACAAATACATATACTCTTTTTAAGTTATGTATTATACATATAACTTGTAGGTTACACATAATATTGTGCCAAGGACCACTCCTACACTGATAGGTAATTGTAACTGACATCACTGTCATCATTCTGGACCTGCTACCATCACATAATCTACTTACTAGACTGAGAATCTCTTTATTAGATTACACACTTTCATTATTAGAGTTCATCCCACATTTGACTTTTTCTTGGTTGTTTTTTTTTTCTCTGTGAAGTTACTGGTTTCCTAGCCTAACAGATGATTAAGGGATATTTCTAATGACTGTAAACATTATTAGTTGGGAGAGCGTTTATTAACTTTTTTTAAATTACCAAATCTTTATAATAATAGCTTTCATTTATTGAGAGCCAAGGTGTCAGGCACTCTGCCAGCAATTGACAATCACTAACTCATTTAATTTTTTTTTAAGATTTTATTTATTTATTTCAGACAGAGAGAGAGAGAGCACAAGCAGGGGGAGGTGCAGGCAGAGGGAGAAGCAGGCTCCCTGCTGAGCAAGGAGCCCGATGCGATTTGGGGCTCAGGGCTCAATCCCAGGACCCCAGGATCATGACCTGAGCCCAAGGCAGATGCTTAACCAACTGAGCCATGCAGGCGTCCATAACTCATTTAATCTTGCTTAATGACCCTACAAAGTACAGCTGACTGTTGAACAACATGAGTTTGAACTGCGCGGGTCCACTTACCTGTGGCTTTTTTTTTTCAATAAATACAGCACAGTTCTGTAAATATATTTTCTCTTCCTTATGATTTTCTTAATGACATTTTTTTCTCTCACTTTATTGTGAGAACACAGTATATAAATACATAACCTACAAAATATGCATTAATCAACTGTGTTACTGGTAAGGCTTACTGGCCAACAGTAGACTATTTACATAGTTAAGACTTTATGGGAATCAAAAGTTATTCATGGATTTTCGACTGCCTGGGGGTCGGCGACCCTAACTGTCATGTTGTTCTAGGGTCAATGTAGTTCTGTTATTATCCTCACCGAGGGGAAGAGGCTCAGCAGAGTTTATGTGACTTGCCCCAGATCCCCCACGTGGTAACTGGTATTATGAAAACCTATATTCGGTTCTTTCTTACTCCAGAGCCCATGCCATAATGCATGCACACCATAGAAAATCGGAAAATTCAGAGAAACAAAACTAAAAATCACCCACATGGGACACCTGGGTGGCTCAGTCGGTGAAGCGTCTGCCTTTGGCTCAGGTCATGATCCCAGGGTCTTGGGATCGAGTCCCCCATTGGGCTCCTGGCTCAGCAGGGAGTCTGCTTCTCCCTCTCCCTCTGCCCCTGCTCATGCTTTCTCTCTCTGCCTCTCTCTCTCAAATAAATAAATAACATCTTGGGCGCCTGGGTGGCTCAGTGGGTTAAGCGACTGCCTTCGGCTCAGGTCATGATCCTGGAGTCCCAGGATCGAGTCCCACGTCAGGCTCCCTGCTCAGCAGGGAGTCTGCCTCTCTCTCTGACTCTCCCCGCTCTCATGCTCTCTATCTCATTCTCTCTCTCAAATAAATAAATAAAATCTTTAAAAAATAAAAAATAAATAAATAACATCTTTAAAAAATAAAAAATAAAAATCACCTATAGGACCATCACTTAGCATATCCACTCTTAACATTTTTAAATATATCCTCCCAGACATTTTTCTGTGTATGTCTATACATACAATTGTTTTTCTAAAAGTGGAGTCATTTGAATATTTTGTAACTTGGTTTTTCAAATACATCGTAAGTGTTTTTCCATGTCCTCTTGTTACTTTTTAACCGTGTATCAAATACTATTGGCACTTCAGAGCTGGAATTTTGGACAGAATGTACCTAACCCCCTCATTTTCTCTTTGAGGTGCTCCAAAAGGAGGAATGACTTAAAAAGTCACCCAGTTGGGCCGGGACCCAGATGTCTCGGACTCCAGGTCCAGTTTTTTTCCCATGCCTCCCACTCTGTCTTCCCTCAGGCCCCAGGTTCAGGTGGATCAGAAAGGGCAAGCTCCCAGGATGTCCAAGTCTTCCTGACCTTCCCCAGAACACACTTGGTGGGCACTGCAGACTCTGCTGTGAAAGACAGAAATTATCCACGGCTACATACCAGAACCTGAGAATCCCAAGTCCCAGCCTCCCTTCCCTCCCTCTCCTGCAACCTGCCCTGAGCAAGGGAGTGGAGACCTTGCAACCCCTCCTCTCCCACCCCCATAAACACCCCCACAGAGATAGAGGGGCAATCTCAGCTCCTACAGTGGCCTCTCTCTAGGACGCTCATGTCCACAGAAGTGTGGCTCTACCCTGTGGCCTGAGTTGCTTATAAACCCAAGCCCCACCCTCCCTGTACCGCTTCCCACCCCCGCTTCCAGCCCTGGAAACCCAACTGCGCATGCACCTGTTCTCACCCACAGGCTGCCCCAGTCCTTGGGTCTCTACGTGGTGGCCACCAGCACCACCCCCAAAGATCTCCATCTATGACAGAGTTTCTCCTGGCTGTCAGGAGGTCCTCCCCAAGTCCAACTTGGTTCCCCTTCTGTGTAACCCAAGGGAAGTTTCTCTAATTCTGCCTTTAGGAACTGCAGTGGGTCTGGAAGGGAAAAGCTGCTCTCCCTTTTCTCTGGGTCACCCAGAGAACTAGAAAGCTGGTCCTTAGTGCCCCCACACCCACCCCCAGCCCCTGCCCTCCGTGGTGTCATCATGGCTCTCCTGTCTGCTGTCCTGGCAGGAACTGTGATGGTGCTGGCCATCCTGCTGCCGCTGGCCTCATTTCTGTTCCTCACCACCGTCCTGGCCTGCACCTGGAAGAGCCACCCTTCTCTCTGCAGGAAGCTGGGTAGGAAGGAGCTGGATGCAGGCAGGGTGGCGGGCCTGGCCGGCTGGCTGTCCCCACCTGCATGAGGGAGGGAGTTTGGGGGAGACAGTCAGCTTCCCTGGGGCCAACCCTTCTGCCTGTCCATGCCCTGAAGACTTGCAGTGCCCGCCCCCAGCACAGACATCCTCTCCACCCAGCTCCCCCATTCTGAGGCTGGAGATAAGGCAATAATAGCTCGTTCCTTCTGGGAACCCAGGGTGGGGGGCAAACGCCTCAGTGGGCTGTGAAGGGTGCGAGCCCGGGGGCCCAGGGCCTACTGGAGGCCTGACCCCCATTTCATTTTCCATTGCAGGATCCCTGCTCAAGAGGCGTCCAGAGGTAATGGGGAAGGCTGAGAAGGCAGCAAGGAGGACAGGCGGGGCTAAGTGAACAGGGAGGGGTAGGCAGGGTAAGAGTGTAAGGCCTCAACATTCACTCAGCTAATAAGTGATTGAGCCTACCACATGCCAGGCACTGTTCTGGGCACTATGGATATAGCAGTGAGCAAAGCAAAGTACCTGCCCTCCTGGACTTACAGGCCAGGGGAGCAAGGCTAAAGTTAAAGAAATACATTATCAGGGGGTCACAGTTGCTAAATAAAGCATGGTAGCAGGACAGTGAGTGACAGTGGCAAAGGGTGGGGGTACATTATCTTAGAGTGGACAGAGAGGGCCTCTTGGATAAACTGATACTTGAGCAGAGAGCTGAAGAAGTGAGGGAGCCATCCATCAGAACATCTCGGGGAAAGTGCTCCAGGAAGAGGGACATCTAGTGCAAAGGCCCTGTGGCAGGGAGCACGAAGTGGAGTAGAGGAGAACAGTGAACTGCCTAAGCATGGGGTGGGGGGTGGGAATTAAAGAAAGCTGGGGTCCGAGGCCCACGTCATCGGTCGGTTCTCTGCCTCTCTCCTACAGGGAGAGGAATCAAATTCTGCTGACGGAAGCTGGGAGCCTCCAAGGGTCAACCCACATTTCCCTGACCTGGTAAAGCCACTTCTGCCCTTCCCTAGAGATACGGCCCTGGCCTCGGCCAGGCTCCCAGCGCCCCCGAGTTTGGAGGAAGAGGTGCTACAGCAGCAGAGTCCTCTCAGCCAGGCCAGGGAGCTGGAGCCTGAGCTCCCAGAGCAAAGCCAGGTGGCCCATGGTGAGCCTAGGGCAGGCAGCAGGGAGGAGAGGGGGCAGGGAAGGAAGGGTGGGGCGGGAGGGATGGTGGGCAGGAGGAGAGTGTGAGCCAGACAGAAATGAGAAGACTAAAACAGAGCAAGACAGAGATTCCACTAGCTCGCCGTTGGCCCCTCTCACTCTGCCTCCTTTCCCACAGGTACCAATGGCATTCATGTCACCGGCGGGTCTGTGACCGTTACCGGCAACATCTACATCTACAATGGGCCAGTCCTGGGGGGAGCACGGGGCCCTGGAGACCCCCCTGCTTCCCCAGAGCCTCCGTACCCCACCCCTGAAGAGGGTGCCCCTGGCCCTCCCGGGCTCTCTACACCCTACCAGGAGGATGGCAAAGCTTGGCACCTGGCTGAAACAGAGACACTGGGCTGCCATGCCCTCTAACAGGGCCAAGGACCCAACTCGTCACCCATGCCTCTTGGTGTCTGGGAACAGCCAGGAGAAGGGAGTGCAAGAGCACCTTCTCCCTGAGGCTACGCTACCCATACGGGATTGACCGAGGGCCTGGGTAGGGCCCCTGAGAGGCAGACCGTAAGGGGCCGGGCCTCAGACACATCTCCGAGAGCAGGGCCAGGCACTGGCTGGGTATGTACCCGCCACAAGACTCTCACCGCCATCTGAGCAGGCCTGAGACTTCATTGCAGACCCTCCTGCCCACTGGGCCTGCAGCAGCTCAGCTTCCGGCACGGACAGGGCATATGATGCTCACTGCTGCCCACCATGGTGTGCTGTACCCTCAGCATGGCACAGAAGGAGGCCAGTCCTTGTCACTTGCAAGGACATCAGTGGGACCTCCAGCAGATTCGTGGTGCTCATCCCCAAGCTTCAGAGGCCCTTTGAGAGCCCGCACGTCACACGGACTGAAGTAGACCCTATATGAAGATGGAGTTACATGGAGGACCACCCCTCCCCTCTCCGCCTAACAGGAAAGGGAGTCATTAAAAACCGGGGGTTTGGACACACTTACTAGGTAGAAGGGGGAGTTTGGGAGGGGGAGGAAAATGGCAAGTGTATTTATAAATTGTAACCACATGCAAATAAAGAGGAGATTGAGACCTAGATCACTCATTTTCTTGGGATTCACATAGAAACACTATTCCATTGGGGCAATGTCAAAGGCAAAGGTCAAAACATTAAAATACAATCCTACAAAGGTATTTCTGTGAGAGACTGGTGTATGTAATTCAGGTGATAACTGTATTAGCCCGCGATCGCTAACAAGGTGCCAGACGGTGTTCTAAACGCTTTACAATATTAACTTACGCAGTCCTTACCACATCTCCCTGAGATAGATGCTTTGACTGTTCTCCTTGAACAAATGGGGAAACTGAGCCACAGAGAGGGTAAATGACTTGCCCAATTCAGCTGCAAATGGCAAAGCTGGATTTGCACCCCGTCGGTCTGGCTCTGGAGGCCTCTCAGGTAAAAACTTCACATAACACACACCCTTATAGAATTTCTCTGAACAAATAAAAAAAAAAGAAAAGGTTTTCTCAATCAGATCTCCTTCACGTCCTGCGGGCATTCAATCGGAGCCAACTCTCACACCTCCAGCCACAATGCAAAGTGAGAGAGTGTTCTTTCCAGATGGCCGGTCAAAGGGAAAGATAGGCACTTTAGACATAAAATATGAGAGATCAAGTTCACATCCTGTTGGTGAAGAGATCTAGGCCAACCTCCTTCAACTCAGAAGGGGCACTCATGATTTTTACTTGTTTATTCCTTTTTGTCTTATTTTATTTCTCCCCCAAAGAACTTTAAATATTCTCAAGCTCTTTTATTGGGAAATGTTTGGGCCCATGACTTTATCTATCTCACTGCCTGGTAGAGACAACCTGAACTTGAAGGATTGTGAGGGAAGTGGCTGCTGCAGACTTCTCCTTCCATAAAAGGCCACCGTCTGGGTTTGATGTTAAGAACCCTGTCGCTGGGGCTCATCAAGATGGCGTGGCTACAAAACACAGAGCCCTCTGATCCAACTGAGTGGTTGGGTTATTAAAGGTTGACCATGAAAGTATTAGATCCAAATTCCTTTTTTAAGAATTAAGTCATGGGGCACCTGGGTGGCTCAGTCAATTAAGCGGCTGCCTTTGCCTCAGGTCATGATCCCAGGGTTCTGGGATCGAGCCCCGCATCGGGCTCCCTGCTCAGTGGGGAGTCTGCTTCTCCCTCTCCCTCTGCACCTCCCCCCGTTCTTTTTCTCTCTCTCTCAAATAAAATTTTAATCTAAAAAAAGTGGTTTAAAAAGAGTTATAGTGAGCTGTATACATTTTTTTAAGATTTTATTTATTTATTCATGAGAGACACAGAGGCAGAGGGAGAAGCAGGCTCCCCACTAAGCAGGGAGCCTGACACGGGACTCAATCCCAGGACCCCAGGATCATGACCTGAGCGAAGGCAGATGTTTAACCATCTGAGCCACCCAGGCACCTGAGCTGCATCTTTAGAGTTAATACCCCTCTCTTCCAATATGCCAGGGCCAGACCATGTGAATCCTTAATTATTGCTCCAGTGTATTTAGATAAAAACCAAATTTTATACATTTTTCAACAAAATAAAAAGGAGGAAAGCTTTTTAAAAGAAATGGTGCTGGGCGCCTGGGTGGCTCAGTCGTGAAGCGTCTGCCCTCAGCTCAGGTCCAGATCGAGCCCCGCATCGGGCTCCCTGCTCAGTGGGGAGCCTGCTTCTCCCTCTCCCTCTGCCTGCCACTCTGCCTACTTGTGCTCTCTCTCTATCTCTCTGTCCAATAAATAAATAAAATCTTTTAATAAATAAATAAATAAATAAATAAATAAATAAATAAATAAATAAAAGAAATGGCGCTAAGGTCCTAGGTGATGCGATTCACATTTGGGACTATACCAGCCTGTGTTAATTTGTTAGGGCTGCCATCACAAAGCAGTGCGGCTGGGGGGCTTTGAGAACAGAAAATTATTTTCTCACAGTTCTGGAGGCTAGAAGTCCAAGACCAAGGTGTCAGCAGGGTTGGTTTCTTCTGAGGCTTCTCTCCTCGGCTTGCCAATAGCTGTCCTCTCCCTGTGTCTTCACATAGTCTTCCCTCCTGTTTGTGTCCTAATCTCCTTTTTTTTTTTTTTTCCCCTTTAATGAGAGAGAAAGAGCAGAGGGAGAGGGACAACCAGACTCCACGCTGAGCATGAGCCCAGTGCAGATCTCCATCTCAGGAGATCATGACCTGAGCCGAACCCGAGAGTCAGACACTCAACGTACTGAGCCACCCAGGGGCCCCCTAATCTCCTCTTCTTATAAAGACACCAGTCAGATTGGATAAGGGCTCACCCTAATGACCTCACTTTAATTTAATTATCCCTTTTTTTTTTAAAGATTTTATTTATTTATTTGAGACAGAGAGAATGAAAGACAGAGAGCATGAGAGGGAGGAGGGTCAGAGGGAGAAGCAGACTCCCTGCCGAGCAGGGAGCCCGATGCGGGACTCGATCCCGGGACTCCAGGATCATGACCTGAGCCGAAGGCAGTCGCTTAACCAACTGAGCCACCCAGGCGCCCTTTAATTATCCCTTTAAAGACGATCTCCAAGCACAGTCATGTTCTGAGGTACTGGGGTGCAGGACTTCCACATACAAATTTCGGAGGACACAACTGAGCCTCTAATGCAGCGCATGCTTATTTTGCGAGTGCTGAGTTCACATGAGCTCCAAGCCACGCTAACAGAGCCCACTTTATATTGAGGAGAGCTCTGTCTAGAAGGGAGGCTGAGAGAAAAATCAACGAAGACAGCCTCTTGATTGTTGTCTTCAAAAGAAAGAACCAGATACAATAGTTGAGACAATTAGGTCTGAATCCAGCTAGCCTCCCATACTTTATTTTTGAGAATGCCCTTCCTATATCACATGGGGGACAGAGCCAGCGCCAAGGCCAATGACAGCATGGGTACAGGGAGGCCAGGAAGGAGGCTAAGGCAGCAGTCCATAAGAGAGATGGACATAACTGGCTTAGAGTAGTGGCAGTGGGAGATGTGGGGTTATGTTGTCCTAGGGTAATTAAGATTTTTTTTTTCAAAAGATGGAGTGGCTCACATCAACAGCAGTGATGTCTTTCTGCAACCTCCCCAACAGACTTCTGTACCTTTCCTAGGAACAGAACTGCATTTCTGTACTAGGGCAGAGATTCCATGGTATGAGGAGGAGAGGCCCTTTCCTCAATCCCAGGAGCCAGTAAACCCATTCCCTTTTGCCAGAAATTGGTTTAGGATGGACATGAGATCCATTTCGGACCAATGACACGTATAGGGAAGTCTTCCTTCCCAGAACAAAAAGCATAATTAGGAGAAAGTTTTTGGCTTTCCTTGTCCCTTCTTTCTTGTTTGGGGGATGTTTGTGTGAGAACATGATGACTGAGCTGTGGTAGCCATCTTGCTATCATGAGGAAAAGGCCATGGAGATAAAAAGCCAGTCCTCTGAGGATGGAGGTCCTGGAAGAAAAGAAAAGAACATGTTCATGAGACGTTTCTTTTTGTGTAAATCAGAGTAAGTTATGTTTTCATTTTCTTTTCTAGTTTTAACTTTGTTTCCTTTCTTTGGGTAGGTAATTTATTAATAAGGCTCAAAATTCGGAAAATATCAAAGAGTAAACTGAAATGTCTCTTCCACTCCTGACCCTCAACCACCAAGGTGCCCTCCCTGGAAGCAACCAATGTTACTGTTTCTGATGCTTTTCCAGGGGTAATTTACAAATATATACACTTATAGTCTCTTCCTCCTTTTTTCCATAAATGGTAGCACATTCTCTGTATATCCTTCCCCTTGCCTTTTTCATTTATCAAAATAGCTTGGCCATAATTCCGTATCAGTATCAAAAAGCTCCCTCCTTAATTTTCATATCTGCTTATGCATAGTATCCCATTATATGGCTGCCCCATTTAACTAGATCTCTTTGAGACTTTTTAATTCATTTCCAATCTTTACTATCAAAAACAATTCCAGGGGCGCCTGAGTGGCTCAGTTGGTTGAGTGTCCGACTCTTGGTTTCAGCTCAGGTCATGATCTCAGGGTCATGAGATAGAGCCCCTAGTCGGGCTCTGTGCTCAGCGGGGAGTCTGCTTGAGGGTCTCTCTCCCTCTCCCTCTGCCCCTCCCCTGCTAGCATGGGTGCATGCTCTCTCTCTCTCAAATAAATAAATATTTTTTTTAAAGTTCCACAATAATAACGTATATTGTTTTGCACATGTGGGAGTACTGCTATCAAAAAATTGCTAGAAATAAAATTGGGGTCAAAAGATAAGTATATTTTATTTTGATAAATATTACCAAATAGCCCTCCATAAAGACTGAACATGAGCTATTTTTAACAGTGTCCATTTCCATATGCAAACACCAACTTTGGTGTGTTATCAAACATTTTGATCTTTGCCAATCTGAAAGGCGAAAAATGTTATCTCGGTGTAATTTTTATCTGCATTTCTTATTGTGACTGAACTTTTTCATTTTTTTTTTTTTTTAAGATTTTATTTATTTGACAGGGAGAGACACAGCGAGAGAGGGAACACAAGCAGGGGGAGTGGGAGAGGGAGAAGCAGGCTCCCTGTGTGGGGAGCCCGATGTGGGACTCGATCCCAGGACCCTGGATCATGACCTGAGCCGAAGGCAGACGCTTAACAACTGAGCCACCCAGGCACCCCTGAACTTTTTCATTTTATTGCGAGTAAACACTTTCATTATGTTAAAGAGTCATTTGTAATTTACTTTCCACTGTCTGTTATCTTTCTTAATATTTTTCTATGGGACAATTTCCAAATGTTATCTTGCTATCCCTGAAATCACCTATTAAACGATGTTTTTTTCTTCACTAATTGGAAACACTGCCATTATCATAAACCAAATTTGTGTAAGAACTTGCATTTACTTCTGGATTTTCAGGTCTCCTCTTTTGATCTATCTTTTTAATCTGCTAGCACCCACAGTCTTTCAATTAATTTAGTTTATATTTTAATATCTTTTTTTTTAAGATTTTCTTTATTTATTTGACAGAGAGAGAGAGATAGTGAGAGAGGGAACACAAGTAGGGGGAGTGGGAGAGGGAGAA